ACACACTTGGTGAAAACTTACCAGACAGTTCCGAGGTGGGTCTTTCTATATGGCATGTGCCCTGGAATCTTCAAAAATATTAATGTTGCAATTGACAAATTAGGTGGCAGAATGGGGTGGGGGGGCTGTTCTGAATGTACAGAGACCAAAAAGGTGGAATAACTGAACATATGTGTGCTCCTTCTTTGGATCTTGCATTCAACAGAAGAATAGCTATAAAGGCCATTGTTGGGACAACTGGGGGAAATTTGCATGTGGACTGTATGTTACAACATATTATTATATCAATGTTAAGTTCCTTGGGTATGATCATGATAGGGTGTCTTTGTTCTTTGAAGATACATGCTGAAGTATTTAGAGATGATCTATCAGGATTCTGCATGAAACTTACTTTCATACTATAAGCAAAAAGAAAGAGAGAGAGAGAGAGAAAGCAAATATACAAAATGTTCATATTAGTCTTTCAACTATTCTGTAGGTTTAAATTTTTTTCAAAGTAAAAAGTTTGGGAGGTAACCCCCAAAACAAACAAACCAAAAAAATAATAATAATCTGTGCTTCCTAGCTATTACTATCTCTGATTCTCCCAGTCTGGGAGTCTGTGAGAAGGAAACCTGAAATAAATACATATGGCGGATAAATAAAAAAGAAATCGTGTACTGGGATCTATTTTCAGCCTAGTGAAGCATGTCAGTTGGTACTTTACTTATTCGTTTCCCATAGGATTTGCCTAAACAAATAAAATTGCCTCCAACTTTAAAAAAGGAAGCGAGACTGTCTCCAAGCTTCCCTGGAAAGAAGCAGTTAAAATTTTATCCTTATTTTACCTCCTTATTTAGTGGTGTGCCTTGGCAGAAACTCAAGGGGAGTGTAGTTACAGCCAGCCTCCGGAAAAATCGCAGACAACACTACCTCTTGCTCTCATGAATTACGTTGGGGGACATGCCGCTGCTTCCAACTTGCCCGTCTCAATTGTGGTGACAAAGCACCAGGCCAAGAGGCAGACCCCTGGGTAGTCAGGTCTATATTATTTCAGATTTTAAATACTGAAAGCGAGACAGAAAGCCTTTCTCCGAGATCAGAGAGTGGGAAGTGTAATTTACAATAGATTAGGCTCACCTTATCTGGGGAGGCATTTAAAGATCTATAGGCCCTTCCTTTTAAATTCCTGATATACAATTGACCTAACAAAACACCTTTAGACACTCCTAAATTATATACTTAAAAAAAATCTTTTTCCCAGATATATAATATTTGCCCCACAAAATGATGAAATATTTGCCACTGGCCTTCTAGTTTCTTTTCTTTCAAGGCTTAAAAAGCCTATTTGATTTCTGTGGCCGGATTGTGTCCAGGTACAGAAAGACACCCTTTGTGACTGGTTAAAAGCTAAAGAAAGGCTCTATTGAAACAAAATGCTGCTCATATCCCCATCCATGCCAGGAGGAACAAATTGCACAAAAGAGCCTAAAGAAAACTGTTTTATAGTTACTACTGTGTTACATTAGCTGACAAGGGAGAGTGATTACATTTATAGATTTTTTTTTCCTTTTATAGAGGCAGAATCTATATGCAGCTGAAGAATTATGTATTATCACCACTGGAATTTGAATTCAGCTAATGAGAACTAACAGCAAAGGAAGACGTCTAGCAAGGCTGCTTCGTCTTGGTCCTGTATATGGGCCATAAAATTAGGCTGCCTTGCTTCCCTTTGGGGCCGCAGCACTGATCTGCAAATGTATTTCAAGATTCCATTTGTGCATCCATAAAAATATTAAAACATGCATCTCTTTAAAACATGCATCCAAAACTAATTATGAAGTTGGAAGCTATTAATACCAAGCCATCATTATAAAATAATACCTTATATTTGCATAGTGTTATGTACCTCTGTGCTTCAGAGCACAGTCACGGACCTAATCTCACTTAATCCTGGGAACTTGGTGAGGTAGATTGCATGATTAGTCTTTCCACTATGTAATTAAGGCAGCTGAACAAGACATGATCGTTCTCAATGCTGAAACTTTATGTCCACCATTCATCACAATGAAAAAACTCTAACTTGAGAGAGAGAAACAGAAACAGACTCAGTTCTGTTACTTACTAGCTGTATAACCCTGGACAACTGACCAAACTTCTCTGAGCCTCAGTTTCCCCAGCTGCAAAATAAAGGAAATAATACCTACTTCTTAAGAGTGGTGTGATAGTTAAATAAACTTAAAAGAAATAACTGCACTCAAAAATTATAGCTATTTATTCATCCACTCGTTCAGCAAATACTTCACTGTTTTTAGCAGTTGACAGACAAGAAAAATACAAATCTAGAAGAGGCAAGTAATACAGCTATCCTGTTAAGATACAGTGCCAGCCTTCACGAAGCTCACAGACATGAAGGATGGTAGACATTTAAATAAACCATTAGAATGTAGTGTGATATTAAGGAAAGCAGGCCAGGGCCACCACATATAGCTGTGAAGGTTTTACACTGCACAATCCAGGGGACAACCTTTATGTCCCAGTGTATGTGAGTGATGACAACCCTAGAGGGGTGTAATGCACCACCCAAGAAGCCATACACAGCAATCCTGCTGGTAACAGAAAAAGGTTAATTAAGGCTTCATAGAGGTCATGTTGAATCTAGGTCACTTCAGAAAAGAGAAGAAGTGCATGAGAATACATGAAACGAATATGGAATTGTAAGAGCACCACTGCCATAGTAGATAGAGTATATATAAGACAGAAAAATGAAATTGAAAAGATAAACGAGACCACATGATGAATGGCCTTGCAAACCATGCCAAAGAATTTGCACTTCACTCTTAAAACAACAAAGTGCTTTAGTGTAAATATATGATTGTTGCTTTAACATACCTTCAACACTTTCTATCAGCTCCTTGTTTTCATTTGGAGATTTGCATAGCCCTAAGGGTCGTACAAACAGAATGAAACCCAGGAATGTTATTGATGATGCAGAAACAACTGTACACAAAGCTTTGTGGCCAAGAGGGAGAACGGCTCTAGAATAAAGTCGACATCCTGGCAGGCACTGGAGAGAGAGGAAGAAACCAGGCTCCTGATGACTATATTGAACCCCTAAGTCTAACTTTGCCTGAAGTCCACCTACTTTGTGATCTTCAATTACGTGAACCAATAAAATTCTATTTATTATATTAACAAGTTTGAGTTCTGTTTTCTGTTACTTTTAAGAAAAAGATTTTTAACTGATATAGGTGCCAATGAAAGACTCTAAGCAAAGCAACATAACACTATATATATTTTATAAAAATATTACTTGTAGCAGCTGGGAAAAAGATGTACCAAGAGAGGCCAGAAGTGAGTAGAACAGTCTTTCACCAGAATCCACACAAGAAGGGAAGTCAAAAGAAAGAGCTTATATATCCTGACATAAAAAATATTTTAGAGGAATACTTTTAAAGGATAAAACCTCATTGCAAAATAATTTGTATAATATGATCTTGTTTTAGTTTTTTTTAATCTTCATTATTTATGTGCCTATGTGTCATTTCACATTTTACTACATATATTCTGTCTGATTTTTTTAAATGAAAATTTTGAGTTGTAAAATTTAAAGACAGAAAATTAAAGAAATAATGACCAAGTGACCTACTTCTGTGGCCTTGAGTGGAAAGGATGAATTTGAAAGGCATTTAAAGTCAACCTTTCTAAAGCCATCCTTTAGGAAAAGTTCTAGCTCCACCTCATACACGACTCTTCTCTGGACTATCCTGCCCAGGGTGGTCTCCCTCCTTTTAACTCCTAATATTCTAGCTCCCTGGATAATCATTCAGTCCTACACATCCTGTCTTGCACCAAAGATTAACTTTTCATAAATGTGCATCTTCCAAATGGTTATAATCTCCAAGAATGTTTTTTTATAGCTCTACTCCACCTAGCTCTGTGCTTTGTATGTAGTAATTATTCAAATAGCCCCTGGTTAGCGGAGTGCTCTTTCCAGTACACTATACTGCCCACCTTGTTTCTGGTTCCCCAGCCTAACCCCCACCACCCCTTGACCTAATATAGAGAAGAAAGCCTGGGAATTTCCAAACGATTGCAAATACCTCTGTCTTGCCATGCTCAAAACTCTCCCAGCTTCCAGTTTTAGCACTGCCTCTGCATTACCAAATGGCTTTGGGGGAAGTCTCAACCTCCGTGGGGTTCTTTCTACTTATAAAAACTTCCAGAGAAACATTTGGAGAAGTCACAATTAAAAGTCCAGATAGTCGGAAACTGTGAGGCACAAAAAGAAAAAGTAAGCTGATGGAGGAAGATAACATCGGAGAGGAAATAACATGTCAGAAGGAAGTACATTCTAGAGAAAGTGCAACTGATAAAGACATCCATTTGAGGAAAACAATAGGACAGGAGGGTGTAGCTAAAGACTTTGTACCAGAACTCATGATCCAATTACATCAATGGTCCCCAAAGGAATGGAACAAATGTTGCAAACAGGTTTGATTACGTTGTGTTTGTTGTCAAGGTCATTTACTCGTAAATGTTCATTGAGTGTCTATATTGATGAAGCTCTGTGGTCAGTACTGAGAAGACAGTGATAAAAAAGATAAGCATCATCCTGCCTGCCTGAAGCTTAAGTTCTAGTGAAGGATAAAGACAAGTCAACAATCTGTTGCAGTACAGTGTGATATGCTGAGTGCACTATTTAGAGGGCACGTTGTTTTCTGTCAGCGTACGTTTGCATTTTCCTTGAAATACAAACCATAATGTTTGTGGTGCTCTGAATGAGAAATATAATGGGTATTGTGGACTGAATGTTTGTGTCTCCTCTCCTAATTCATATGTGAAGCCTCAATCCCTAATGTGACTATATTCAGAGATAGGGCCTTTATGAAAGTACTTAAGGTCAAATGAGGTCAAAAGAGTAGAGCCTTAATCTGATAGGATTAGTGTCCTTACATGAAGTGACGTAACTAGGGAGAGCTCACGATCTCTTTCCAACACATGAGCACACAGCAAGAAGTCAGCTGTCTACAAACCAGGAGGAGAGATCTCACGAGAAACCAATGCTGAGAGACCTTGATCTGAAACTTCCAGGCTCCAGAACTGTGAGAAAATAAATTTCTGTTCTTTTTTTTTTTAAGACTTTATTTATTTATTTGACAGAGAGAGACACAGCAAGAGAGGGAACACAAGCAGGGGGAGTGGGAGAGGGAGAAGCAGGCTTCCCGCAGAGCAGGGAGCCCCATGTGGGGCTGGGATCATGACCTGAGCCGAAGGCAGACGCTTAACGACTGAGCCACCCAGGTGCCCCAAAATTTCTGTTCTTTAAGCCACCGAGTCTGTGGTGTTTTGTAATGGCAGCCTTAGCTGACTAATATAATAGGAAAATTGCAGAGCGTTACAGGAGCGCCTAACCCCATCTTAGAGTTCATAAAAGTCCTCCTAAGAGAAAATGAAATTTACTATTAGGTCTAAAGGATGAGTAAGAGTTAGCAAGTCAAAGGGAAAGGTGGTAGAGGGGCTGGGGGAAGGTACTGAGTGGGGACGGTTTGCCAGGCGAGGAGAAGAGCAGGTGCACCCTGAGTGGACTATCAAGTGGGAGGGGCGCAGCACGTGAAGAGATCAGCAGTGGCAGGCACAATAGGTCTTTCATAAACCTTCATAAGAAGTTTAGGTTTTACCCTGAGATCCATAAAAATGCTATAATGTTCCTACGATATTAAAAATTAATAATAACTGGAATCATTTGTTTTATGTAATTTGCAAACTATCTGGAAGGAAATTTCCACTTTTGCAGTTTTTCAAACATTTGCTCAGCACCACATGGTTAGCTTTCAGTGACATTTGTTTAATAAATGATGGGTTTAGGCCTTTTCTGAGGATATTATAATCCTTGTCTTACCATCACAGTGTGCCCACGTTCCAAATCAGAGGGTTTTTTAATCTGTTATTGACATTGTAAGAGAGTCTTTCTCTGAAGCAATCCATATAATAACTCCGCCCTAAAATTCAGGTTCACGTTCGGGTTGCCTCCTAAAACTGAGCCCTTGCAGACCAGCCAAGACAGTGCTGGATTTGTGAAGATCAAGTTTAAAACATCCACTCTGACCTCCAGAACAGTTCTGTGTATTCTTGCACCTTCTGCAAGCTGCTGATTCTTGGATGAGTATTACCACTACAGTTTTACATTTTTCATCCTGCCGGAAAACAATAGCTAAATATCAGAGCATGAAATAATGTTTTGTTCAGGGGTCTGCCAAGCATGTCAGGTCAAATTCTCCTTTTTTTTGGCCTTCGAATTGTTCTGTGAACTCCCATAATAGCATTGCACCACATTTGATCTTCAGGAAAACAGACTTTGAAAACAAGAGTTGATGGACCCTGATAGCCAGTTTCTTAGGTGTATCCTTCCAGCCACCCAAGCATGTGAGATAGTTACACTTTGATTTCAGGATCTTTGATACCTCCAAAATCCCCCCACAGCTCTCTGAACTCAAGGCTATTGAGAGTCCACTACATGCTGGACATACCTTAGTCTCAGCCTTTGGGGAAGATGCTAGCTCTCGGATATCTTCACAATACTTTTTCAAACCGTCCATTTCCTATAGTGTGTGTCTGGTGCACAAGGAAAAGCTCAGAGGGATAAAACTAAGAACTAGAGCTATGGGATGAGTACTGTGGCTCAAACCTCAGGTTGATAAGGTGAGAAAAGCCCCACCCAAACCTGGCACCACGGCTGATTGCAGCTGACAGCAAGAAGTCGTTTGGAGAAAAGATGTTTCTGTGATCAGTGATCTTTGAATATCTGAAACCTGAAATTCTGGAGGAAGATCAGATGGTGCAGGCGGAAAGGACCAGCTCGCTTGAAATTCTCTGCCAGGCTTTGTGTAAGGCTCTGTGGTAGCTTGGCCAAGGCATTGGATCTATTTCATATAGAAATGATATTAAATGAGTACCCTGCCAGAATAGCTATTATCACTTCTAGTGCTATATTCTCTCTGCTAATATCTTTCCAGGTTCTCCTCTTTCCTCTTGATTCGTTATCAGCCCTTCCACCAACTTGTGCAAGGAAGTGAAGCAAACAGGTTTCAGGTGGAGGAAGAAGTTGAACTGATATGGAATCACGGGAGAGGCAGATCTTACAGGGAACTCGGAAGCTAGCATCACCTTTCAGAGTTGTCCCATAGTAAGGCAGGGAGGCGGGGCTTTATATTCCTAAACTAGAGGTGATTAGGTGATGGCTGCTCCAGCAAAGGGTCATGACCTTGGGGAAGGCAATCTCTGGGGAGGGCTCAACTGTGAGGCCTCAGCAGAGACACCCCCAGAATCTGGGGAATGGGTGTCTTGGACCAAAGGGGGACACGAACGGTGCCCCAAGCATCTTCCATATCCTCTCACCCCAATAATGTGAGGAGCAGCCCAAGGGGTAGAGGGAATCTGGCTGAGGGTCATTTAGCTGCTTTTTCTCCCCTCTCTATTTAGATCAGCATCCCCTTTATCCCCTTTCCTCTGTCCTAAATTCTAGTGGTGTGTTAGAGGAGTGCTCCAATGGACTCCTGTCTCCACGCCTTCAAAAGTGTCAGACTAAGGCAGGCGGCTTAGGCCATGGGTCTTGTGATGTTAAGTTTGCAAAACTTAATGCGGTGCTTTGATAGGTTTAAATGGATTAGGTGATATATATATATTTTTTTTTTTAGAAAAAAAGGAATTTCTAATACTCGCTTCTAATTTTTATTGCTAGCTTTTAATTGCAAATGCACAGTATTTCGGCTACATTTGGGTCCAGTTGATTTTTGTCCACCGTCCAAGAAGCCTTACAGCCGTTGTTTCTATGGGAAAATGTATATTGAGTTCCAAAAGCTCAAAAGAAGTCTTGGAACAGTGCCCAGGTGGGGCTGGCCACACAGGTAATGGGCTGCAACGAGCACGTTATAATTGTCAAACCCTTCAAACACAGGTAGGGAGAGCATCAGCCCATTAAGAGCTGAAGTTGCCTTTTAACTGTGCCCGGTGCAAACTGACGCTGGAGGGCAAACTATTGTTCTCATCAATTTGTTCCCAACAGATAAATCCAGTACCACACACTCCAAAACAAGGTAGGCTGTTTCAAGAGATCACACATTTTAATGGAATCACACTTCATTTCTGGAACAAGCACATCTTGCCCAGGCACCTCAACTGTCATTACAAACAGGATCTGGTCACTGCTCCCTCTATCCCTAGCATTATCCCTGTTTTACTGGGAAGGAAGCTGGCATGAGGCGCTGAAGTGACTTAGCCCCAAACTAGGGGTCAAGGCTGCAGCAAGCAGCTGGTGAAAGCACAGCCTGCCCCCGCCTCCACGCGGCTTGTCTCCCCACCTCCGCCTGGACTCCCTCCCAGCTGTGGGGCCGGAAATGTCCCTCTCACTCTCCTTGGCTCAGTTACCTGTGAAACAGGCTGGAAACAGCCATTCCCAGGAAGGTTCAGTGTTCATTCACTAATCAAAGAAGAAAAACCCGCCCCCAAGGGGGACATAGAACCCAGCACCGTTTCTGACCATTTCTTTCCTCCCCAAAGGGGGTCCGAATTTCTGAGGTTTGAGGTCCTCTGGTTCCTTTGACAGCAATGTTAATAATCATACCGGTTTTCCCCTGGCGTGGCGGCACCACCAAGTAAAGAAGCCCAGTGTAGGAGATGCGCCCAGTGCAATAATGCCGGTTAAATAAGTACCCTTCATTGCCTCCCCACAGTCAAGGAGCTTAAAATCCTGTCAATTCATCCCACGTGAGGGAGATTATGTGATTTACATGTTAAAGTGTCCCTGTGGTTTGATTTGCATAGCAAAGACTTTGGGGGCACAGAAACAAAGGATCAGTGTGCATGACAAGAGTACTATTAGCATAGAGCATTCGGATTTTCAGACAGCCCAGCCTGGCAAACAATCCAGCACCTTCACCACACCCGCTGAGTTTATAGGATTTGACAGTTTCTCATCAACAGTAAGGGGAGGGGTTAGGGAGTTGGGGTGTGGAAAGAGGTTGACTAGAAAGGCTGTCTTCTTAAGCACAATAATTAGTCTTTTCCTAAAGGGCTCCCCTCCTCCCACCACCTTTTTTCACCCTCTGATATTCATTCCAAGGCAGAAATATGATGCCTAATAATAGTGGAAGAGATCAGCCACAACCATTTTGAACACTGAAGAACACAGTAGCTCAACCCTCATCAGCGCACGCACGTGCGCACACACACACACACACCCTGAAATGTATTTATTTGCATCTTATTTCTTCATTTATTTCTGTAATATGGACCAAGCAGCACCTAATGAAAAGAACACTGGTTAGGAAGTTCAGAGACTTGGCTTTAAGTCCTGACTTTGCCACATTCGTTACTTGGACAAGTCACCTAGTTCCTCCATCTACAGCCCAGTTTTCTCCCCAAGACGGAAGATGGACCAGAGAAACTCTACAATCCCTTCCAGCACTAGCATAAGAGAAATTAATACGACAAACCAGTGCACAGTTACATCAGACAAACGGAAAGACAGGAATGTGGGGGTTGGGGCCAAAATGAATGTTTCAGAAATCCCACCTTAAGTGTTTTGTCACCTGTCACTTTAAGAGTGTACTTACTTACCCACCCTGAGCCAGTCTCTCAGTTTTAAAAGAAGAACATCAACAAAATGTGTCTTGAGCTCTTGGGAGATTTAAATATAATGCTCTAAGTGAAAAAGCACTTTGCAAATTATATATGCAATACACTGTTACTATGTGTTAACTCCAATGAGATGAAAAATCCAAGTACTAACATCAGGATGTTGTGAAATAGTCCTTTAAACCCATTGGTTTTCAGGTGGGGGGTTTGGGGGTGGGAGTGATTCTGTCACCCATGAGATATTCGGCAATGTCTGGAGACATTTTTGATAGCCACACTGGGAGCACGGGAGAGGGCTACTGGCATCTACAGAAGAGTGGCCAGGAATGCTGCTAGATGTTCTGCAAGGCACAGGACAAGTATCCCACAAGGAAGAATTCTCCTGCTCAAGAGTAAACCTAATACTCAAATACCGTCCTAAACAAGGGCGGTCTGTTTTCCCAGGGAAGAAGACAGGTCCGGTTGGTATGAACCACCAAATACTTAGGTCCCATGAATACCTAGACTCCCAAAGAGTCCTACAGCCCTGTGACAAAGCCCCAGCCAAAAAATGGTTTCCCTCAGAGATTTAATCATCAAGCTCTTGGCCACAGGGACTTGGAGGGAGGTGGTCCTATAACCAAAAAGTCCCATAAATAGAAGTGCATGGTAATAACTCTACAAAGTTTATGCTCTCTTTTTTATTGGGGTGGAGGGAAGAAAGTCAAGTCTCCAAACTCATTTATTGTGTATAATGTGGTAATGGGAGTTGGGGAATGAATGCATGAGGAATACATGATGCATCCATTATACTGAGGGCTGAAATTGATTCTGCATGTGTTCCATTCTCATGCACACAATTAAGTGCACAGCTCATTCTCTATAGAAATCTACAAAAGATCTGCTATGAACATACCATGTAAGGGGGAAAAAAATCTACTATAATTGATATATTTTTTAGTTACTTTAAAAAAAATTTAATCACTAGCCAGGTGTTACAGAATTTGAAGCATGAGTAATTCTACTGAATATCTGTTGAGCATTCTGGAAACACTTCTTGCAACCCAGGCTGAACACTGAAGGTGATTCAGGAAGATCTTCGATGGGTTGATGTGTTCAGTCTCCAACAGTCTCCAACCTTAGATGGGAAAAAATAAATTATGAAACCAGAAACTCTTATTTCACGTTTAAATAGCAATATTTTTGTTTCAGAGGGAAAAAAATCACTTTAAATACATTTCTATTTTTTCTCATATAATCCCGGAAGGAGGATATTACAATAAATGGGGAAACAAAACTGTAAGGAATAAGAAAGCTTTGAGGGTAGGGTTAGAGCTCAAAATCTTTAAGTTATTTAAATTCACACCAACAGCTCTGAAAATGCCGGTTACCCTCTCTATACTTTGTCCTTCGACTCGACACCCTCCTGTTCCGTGTTATGCCAACGTGTTCTCTACATGGCTTTCTGAATAACAGTGACTTGGTAGGCAAAGGTATGGCAACGCTGGGCCATTTCCTCTTGACTTGTCCTGTTCAAACCAGAGTTCAGGTCTTGAGCCTGGTGTTAAGGTCTCTGAGTCCTGACACCTGACCCAAGATGAGAGTTCTTTCCTTTACCCTCTTGAAATGTCAAGGGGGCACTGGCATGGACTCTCTCCACTGAGTTAAGAGCCGGGCAGTGAAAGCACGTCATGGAGGTGAAACCCTTGTAGAACACACAGCAAAGGCATCATAGTTTCAAGGTGATCCAAGGTCACTGCTCCTGAGAGCTCAGTGAAAAGGCATTGACAACACCTTCAGAAACCCTGGTTTTGTAGTGCATTCGTAATTGCCGTCTCTTTGAGGAAGGAGCTGTTTAAGGTATATGCAGATAACATTCCAGATTTTTCCTGTGTCTGAGTATAAACTTGGCACTTTTAAAAATGGCATAAAATCAGGGGCGCCTGGGTGGCTCAGTCGGTTGAGCGACTGTCTTCGGCTCAGGTCATGATCCTGCAGTCCCGGGATCGAATCCCGCATCGGGCTCCCTGCTCGGCAGGGAGTCTGCTTCTCCCTCTGACCCTCCTCCCTCTCATGCTCTCTCTCTATCATTCTCTCTCTCTCTCAATAATAAATAAATAAAAATCTTAAAAAAAAAAAAAAGGCATAAAATCTGTCAAGTCACCTGGGTGCCGTTTTTGAAATTACTACTACAATGAACTAAGTGGTGCCTCACAGGACTTACCCCATGTTCAAAAACTGTTCATATAATTAAGGGATAAAGCCATTTGATAAAACCCTAAGAATAATTTAGGTCCTAGAAGAATCCAACTATTTTGGGCCTGCTTTTGTCCATGTACTTCCCCTAGGACCTAGATGAACTCTGAAATTTTCTAATTAACAGTTTATTGTAAGAAATTCTTAAAAGGTATTATTCTCCTTCTATCCCTGAACAGGCATGCACACATACACAATTTCCTTTCTAGAGTTCCCTTTTGAGGTTTCTGGTTAAAAACAATCCCAGCTTCAAAAGGGGCTTTCTGGTTTGAGGCAGAGAGAGGAATGGAAAGGTGAACAGCCCAGGGGGTATTGTGTCAGAACCTACAGATTATTTCCACTTAGGATAGGTATAGACGGGAATGGCTAAAGGCAGAAGGAAGGAGGCTTTATTTTCCACAGACTTGCATATGTTTAAATTGGAGGAGAAATCCTCAGCAGTGCCTAGGTTAGTCGATCTCAAATGAGTGACCAAGGAACTTTCCCTGAGAAAGCAGTAGCTATCCCTGCTAGGATTACTGAAATTGGGTGGCACTGTTTGCATTCTTGGCAGAGAAAAGCCTCAAAGCCAGTTCCTGGGATATCAATCTCCTAGAATGACAAAGAGCTAAAGGGAAAACAGTCATCTGAGAAAAGACAGTACTTATTCAAAAATATTTCCAGAGGCTATGCATGCTCCAAGGCATATAGACTAAACATTTTTTTTTCTTTCACGTAATGAGGAAATGGAGCCAGTCACACTGTTGGAAGAACTGTGACAAAGGAAGCGCGTGGACCTTGACCCGGAAGCAGATGATCCTCCCTCTCTTTAGCGTCAGAAGGTCAATAGTAGCCTAACGCTCCGTCACGGTGCCCACGCCATTCCCCTCACCTCGTTGCATCATGTGGGCATTTTGTCATCTCACATCATCACAAGAAGAAGGGTGAGTGCAGTACGCTAAGGTATTTTGATCGGCCACATTCACAGAGCTTTTAGTACAGTCATTTTTATAACTGTTCTGTTTTCTTATTAGTTATTGTTGTTAATCTCTTCTGGGCCTAATTTATAAATTAAATTTTATCATAGGCGTGTGTGTACAGGAAAAAACACAGTCTATGTAGGGGTGAGTACTATCGGCGGTTTCACACATCCACTGGCCGGGGGCGGGGGGTCTTGGAATGTAACCCCCACGGGTAAAGGGGGCAACAGTCCTTATAATATCCTCAGGCGTAGTTTGTGATCTCTGTCAAGAGAGTGAGGAGTTGTGGGCAAAGGGATGCAGCAAACATTCCTACGGTGTTTGTCTCAGGACAGAAGAAAACAATGTCTCTGAGACCAGAGCATCCAGGAACACATTGCCTCACCCTTTACTTGGGTTTTACATTGAAAATAATAAGCAATATGCCATTGGACACAAGAGCACTTTAAATTGGAATTAAACAAACTTAACAAATATAAAAAGCTAAGACAGTATATAATTATTTCAGTTCCCTTTGCTAGTAACTTACCCCATATTGTTCCTCAAACCTATGACCTCTACATGGATCAAAACAAAGTCTCCTTTTAAAATAATTTAAAAATTCATTTAAAGATAAATATTCTAGTATACGCTTGTTTAGTTTCCTCAGTCCCTATCCTGATATTAAGTCTATGTTACACGTATACTCTCCCGGTGAAATATTTAAGATAAAACGATGTTTAATAAATTTTTCAGGCTTATCTGAGAATAGTCACCTTTCTCTCTCTGTCTTTTCATTTACTGCATTTTTCCACATAAGGAACACCATATCTGAACAATCCATTTTAAAAATAAACAAAGCTCTGTGGGTGGCTGATCTTAGATCGTGCCTGAGATTTATCTTCGTATCAGCCTTAATCTGCGTTGCCTTCCAGTAGCAATGCTTCCCCAGCCTCGAATGGAAGGCACTCACCTAGGAAACTACAAATATATCTTTCAATTTTCCCAGAAGGTTCTTTCTCAACATGAATGTTTCCATGAGTTGTTTATATCCCGTTGACTATAACCCTATTACTTCGACTGGGAACAGATGTTGGTATGTTGTGAAAAACTAATATTCATCTCAAAAATTTCATTTAGATCATTGTACATGAACACCTAGAGATAAATGCAAGGCTAAGGTAATAGAATACAAGAACATGAAAAAAATTCAGAAATAGCTTATTCTTGCTATGCCCTTTATCTTCTGGAAGTAGAAGCAACAAACTTTGCCAAAAATTGATTGGGAATTAATTAGAAAATTCTCTGACCTAAATCAAATGATAAATTATGTGAAAATAGAATTTTTTTCATACACTGCAAAATTGTACTTTCCTGGTGATATCTGTTTTATTATGTAGTGTTATATACATTTTTAATGATATTCTATACTGATCAACATCATTTATTTTGTATACATGTTTAGTCCAATTTTACTTATAAGGACACTTAGGATTCCAAAAATGCACAGTCTTATGGAAAAATCTCATCTTTATATGCTGCCCGATAGAGGCTGACAATGTTAAATCTTTGAAGAAATTAAATAATAGTGAATTTTTTAGTTATGATTGAAGTGAATGAGGGTGTCTAATACATATTGACCAACACAGAGATATTGCTGGAAGATTCAGTAACAAGTGCTGCGCTACCAGACTGTGGTCTTAGACATCCACCAAAGGACATTCATTATTCAAAGTCAGAAAAGATTAATAAGGCCACAAAAGGAATAGCGTGTGACCATTACTCAAAAAAGATATTTGAACTCAGGCACCAAAAAGTTGAATGGCATTAGTTATAGGACATCTGACAAGGGGAATTTTAAAGCAAGCTTTAATATGAGAAAGATCCTAAGGAGAGGCCAAAGATTAATACTGGCCATCCTGGGTAGGAGTCATTTTTTCTGTGTCAGAGATTCGTATCTCAAACCCATCACTGGTAAGACTCCAGCTCGTTTACCCCATCACTGTCCTGACTTCTGAGCTCTTAAAAAAAAGATTTTGAAACTTGGAATAAGTGAAAAATCATCAAAGAAAAGCTCAGAATCTCTTAGTAGGATTGTTTTAATGTAGCCATGCTGTTATCAGTATGAGGTAGTGATAACTCAAGTAGAGACTGAAGGTGTTTTTCCTCACCTGTTCTTTGTAGGGACCTATCTGGTGAAAGTAGTCATGAAGAACATAAGCATCAGAGCCATACTTACGTGGCAGAGAATTAGGTCATAGAAGTTAATTTTTTAGGATTATGTCATAGAAGAGACCTAAGGTATCTGATAAAACTCTCTTATTTTACAGATAAAAAAACTCAAGTTTGGAGAAGCTGATATTTTTTCTAAGTGTACATAGCAAGTCAGTGGGAGGCTATGAAGCTTGAGGGTGAAGGGCTCTGGAATTGTACTGCTTGGTGGGCATCTTATCTTCATCACTTGGTGGTCATGACCAAACCATGTTCTTGGTTTTGGTTTCATTCTCTTTCTTCATCTGTAAAACTGACAATAGTAGCAGTGTAGAAGCCCTCTTATCCAACGTAATAAAGACAGTATATCAAAATTACAGTATAAGCAGTGATACACTATAAATACAAACACTAAATTATGTATTTTAACCTATTATATGCATCTGTATATATTTAATCTAACACATGCATACAAACCTAATATATATTATATTAATAAGATTATTATATTTTTATTAACAGTTATATAGCATATTTTATATATTTTAATATATGATATACTCTTATAATATATATTATATAAATATAAAATATATTATATATTTTTTATGTATGTGTACATCTATGTGTATATTCAATTATATTTCATGTAGGGCCAAGGTCTTTTCTCTGAGTATGGACCCTCTGATTGGGTTTCTAGTCATCCATAAACTTTCCTTCCTTTAAAGGAGAGCAAAAATTTTAAAGACATTCATGAGTCAATCTAAGCACAGGATTCTTTTAGCTTTTTACAGTTTCCAAATTTGTAATGGTCATCTCACCTGTACCTAATTCAACAGCATTTTTTAGAACACATATTGATTAAATCTTTCCAGTGCATTCAACTTAGTTTTTATAAAAATAACCTTTTTTTCTATGGGGATTCTTATTTCACTGCATTGTGTTATATTCAATAAAATAGGCAATTGCATTAACAGGTGCAACTGTTATAATCAGATTTGGGTCCAAACACCTCTGATTCTTGATAACATACACCTCGACTTGAGGTAGCATTGGTGATCAGCTTCCAGGAGACATGCCCACCCTGGAACTGTTGATGTGCAATAAGTATGTCAGTGTGCTTTATGGATGGAATGCAGAAAGCCAAGTTGTCTTTTAAATGCAGGTGGTTGGGGTACCTGGGTGGCTCAGTCGGTTACGCGTCTGACTCTTGATTTCGGCTCAGGTCGTGATCTCAGGGTAGTGAGATTGAGCTGCATCAGGCTCCACGCTCAGAGGGGAGTCTGCTTGAGATTCACTCTCTGTCTCCCCCCTCTGTCCCTCCCCCTGCTCATGTGTGCTCCCTCCTCCTCTCTCTCTTTCTCTCTCTCTAATAAATAAATAAATCTTTAAATGCAGGTGGTTAAGGAAGCTCCTACTGAAAGCTCACCGAACAGTGGCAGCACATGTTAGCTATTAATATAAAAGTTTAGAACTCATTTTTCCTGACTTCTTGGCAGGAGACGATTCTTTTATGTAGCTATTATTTTTTTCTTTTTCACAGTGACATTCAAAATAATTTTTACTCTCTATTTAGCCACAGTAATAAAAATTACCAGTGGAATAAGTGTTTGCTGCAACAGTAAAGATTGGCAGTCAGTTCTAGAGTTATGCTAACTATAGTCCCCATGATATAAGAAAAATATTTTTATGGGGCGCCTGGGTGGCTCAGTTGGTTGGGCGACTGCCTTCGGCTCAGGTCATGATCCTGGAGTCCCGGGATCGAGTCCCGCATCGGGCTCCCTGCTCGGCAGGGAGTCTGCTTCTCCCTCTGACCCTCCTCCCTCTCATGCTCTCTGTCTCTCATTCTCTCTCTCTCAAATAAATAAATAAAGTCTTTAAAAAAAAAAATTAAAAAAAAAAAGAAAAATATTTTTATGTTTTTAATAGTTGGTTTCTACTTTTCTCACTATTCAGATGCATATAGTTTAAACATCAAATGGTGTATCACACTAATTCTAATATGCACTCTTTTTACATTTTAATATCTTTGAAATCTGGATGCCTTTTTACTGTCCATGACATCTAATAACTACAATGGGCCAGGTGGCAGTCGTAACATGGTGGCACTGCCTATGCATTGACCCTCCTTAAAAGCACCAACATTACAATTCAGAAGTGACAGAAACTTGGAAGAGAAACACAGAATCAATAGATCAGTCTTTTGAGGAATGTTGCATTGCCAGTGATCGCAGTGACCTAGAGAGCACTTACTGCATGGAAAAATACAAGCACCAACAACTTGAATTAAACTAATTCAAAAGAGCTTGAAATTCCAGGAATACCTTATCTAACTTCATTTATATTTTGTTTGTCATGTATGCAAAGGAGTGATATATGACCATCATATATGATGCATGATCAGTATGATTAAAAATACTATATCAAGGGGCGCCTGGGTGGCTCAGTCGGTTAAGCGGCTGCCTTCGGCTCAGGTCATGATCCCAGGGTCCTGGGATCGAGCCCCGCGTCGGGCTCCCTGCTCAGTGGGGAGGCTGCTTCTCCCTCTGCCTCTGCCTGCCTCTCTGCCTACTTGTGCTCTCTCTCTCCGTCAAATAAATAAATAAAATCTTTTTTAAAAAATACTATATCAAATAACTATAAAAGAGCTCCTTCATTAATATTGTATAAAGATGATTTCTGAGATGCCTGGGTGGTTCAGTGGGTTAAGCCTCTGCCTTTGGCTCAGGTCGTGATCCCAGGGTCCTGGGATCGAGTCCCACATCCTGCTGAGC